GCAAAAAAGTATTTCCACCTCCAAAGTTTGAAAATCACTTGAGAGTGTGCTTTCACGCTTGTATCTAATGTAATATGAGATATGGTTAAAGAAAAAAAAAAAAGATCTAAAAGTTATTTAAAGTTTCAGTAGATTTCCTGGAAGGTTTTCTTTAAAACAGTGAAACAAATTTGAAGAGGAATTGCTTCCTGTTACTTATCAAAGACAAGCACAGGGCGTGGCTAACGCCCGGATGTTAAACTCTGTTAGCTCTCTGGTTGTCTACACTGAGAGGTGGCAGCTGTGGCGTTTTAACCGTTTTCTGTTCCTTATATACTTGATGGTGGAAGTTATAAATGAATGGCTGCTACACCTACACCACACAGTGCTGAATGACCCAAAATGCTGTCTTGTCCACGCTGTTTCTGATGAAATGGATTTTAATTTTTATTTTAAGACACACCATTTGCCTGTGTTCATAAATACAGCAATGAAGTCTAGTAACCAGGCTCGTCAATACATTGCTTTCTATCAACGGTAATATTGAGGCCCCACACACCAGTTCATTTCCGCCAGCGAGGAGCCCTTTGCCAAGCTCTTTCCTCACGTCCCTTCACTGTATTTTTTTGTCATTCAGGTTGTGTAGCAAATATTAACGAGTAGGTGCATTCAGTCTGATAAGTCTTCCGTATTATCGCACAGTCCTAAGCCTCTCACATGAGAGGTTCAAGCATACCTTCTGATAACCATCCACCGCTTCACATTTTGTCTGTCACTTGCTTTTGAGAAGAAATCCATTTATTTGTCTGAATTACAAACACAGAGGACATTCCTTCAGGCCGGATCGGATACTTAATGACTATAGGCTGGTAGAATTGCATCAGTTAAACATATAATAAATACCTGATGGCAAAGCAAAAATTACCAAAACAAGGTATTTGTTAAAATGATACCATACACATATGTACATCCATCCATCCATCCATCCATCCATCCATCCATCCATCCATCCATCCATCCATCCATATTTTCCCTCTGTGCCAGGAAGTTAACTAAAATTTTATTACAAAAAACCCCCCACAAAACCACATTCAGGTTCCTATTTCATAGCCTCCAAAATAATTCTTGTAAGTAAAATGTACACAAGCTTGGCAGGAATGGAGAACCTGGTTTGTTATGAGAAGACTTGAAGGGAAAGGAATACTTAGCATCTGAGAAAAACTTGAGGCCAACATGCATGAACTCATGACTAGCCTTTCTTCCTCCCTCCTTCTCATCTGTGGTGTGTGTGTGTGTGTGTGTGTGTGTGTGTGTGTGTGTGCACCTGCCTATGTGTGAGTACATGGAGACCACAGGTCATCATTAGGTGGCTTCACTCTATCTATCTATCTATCTATCTATCTATCTATCTATCTATCTATCTATCTATCTATCTGCCTACTTACCTATCAACAAACTCTCTTACTTAACCCAGAACTCTGCATTTTGGCTAGACTGGCTGATCAGCAAGCCTCTGTGACCTTCCTGTCACTGTCCCCATTCCCAGCCATAGTTATAAAGCTAAGTCTCCACACTTAGCTTCTCTGCAGAGGCTGGGGATCAGGTTCTCAGGCCTTTGTGGCAAACACTTTACCCATTGAGTAATCTCCCTTACCCAACTTCTTATAACTCTTTATTCAAAGTAATATCCTCATTTATCCCACCTATTTTTCAAACCACATTGTATGCAACTGGCCCGGGGAGACATATAAGACAACCATTGCTCCTATGGTTAGGAGCGACGCAGAGCTCAGGTTTTGCAGGTTTGCACTGAGCACAGAGAAGGGTTGAAATTCCTGAAAAGTTGGGAGGAGTATCAAGAAGGTTGGAGTACTTCCTAGGAAACAGGTAGTCTTTAGATTGTCAACACAAAAATAGGTGGATTGTTGGTAGTTTGGACAAACCAGCAGAAACTCTGATGTATGGCACACTAGGATATTCTAGATTAGTAAATTGATTTCTAAAGAAAACAACGAACAGGACTGTCAAAATAGGGGAAGATATTTTGTTGCACAGAAATTTTAATAGAAGAAAATTAAACTACAAAGTAAGGAAATACTGAGGAAAGCACAGTACACATTATGAACAAAACATTATATTAAATCTTTTACACCACAGGCATCACCGCAAACCAGAGGGTCTTAATACTTTTCTGTTACTGTGAGAAGTACCATGGTTAAGGCAACTCATAGAAAAAAGTTTATTTTGTGCTTACAGTTTCAGAGGGTTAGAGCCCATGACCATCATGGTGAGCAATAGGCAGGCATGCATTGTACTGAGACAGTAGGCAGGCATGCACAGCTCCATCTACAAATGGGATGCAGAGAGAGAGAGAGGGAGAGAGAGAGAGAGCGCTTATATTATGAAACTAGGAATGGTTTCAGAAGACCATAAATTCCCCGTCTCTGTCTCTCTCTGTTCTCTGTGTATATATTATGAATTCCAGTTTAGTGTTTTTATGGGATTCGTGAGTGTGCAAATGACCAGGCCTCTGATTTTTGTGCCTTCTATTGGGCTCTTCTCCTTTGGTTGGTTTGTCCTGTTCAATTTCGATAGGATAGTTTTTTTTTTTTTTATTTTTTCTTTTAGAAGGCTGTTCTTTTCTAAAAAGAGACAGAAAAAAAAGTGAATCTGGATGGGAGGAGAGAGGTGGAGAGGAAGTGGGAGGGGAGAGGGAGGGGAACCACAATCCACAATCAGGATATGTTGTCTGAGAAAATAATCTATTTTCAATAAAAGGAAAAATAGAAAAAAAGAAAAGGCCCCAGTATGAAAGACAAGAGTGGAACAGTGTGTCTACCTCTGCCCAACAGCTGTGTTGGCCATTTTATCCTCCTTGCATTGTGAGTTTTTCGGTACGTACCTTTGGTAATTTTTAATTAAATTTTATTTATTTATTCGTGTGTGTATGTGTGTGAACACATACATGCCATGGTATATGTGTGTGTGTGTGTGTGTGTGTGTGTGTGTGTGTGTGTGTGTATGTATATATGTTGGAGGACAAGTTTCAGGATTCTGTTGTTTTCTTCTGCCATGTGGGTCCTGGGAATTGGACTTGGGTCATTAGGCTAGGCAGCAAGCATCTTCACCTGCTAAGCCAAGGTCTCTTCTAATACCATCATCGCCACCATTCTCCACACTTCAGACAATAACATACTCACAAAGGAAAGACGCCTTCAATTTTATTAATAACCAACATTTTTATTAGAGCAGTTACAGTTGTGGAAACTGTACATTATACATTTTGGTTTCAAGGATTATAAATTAAGGAACTCACTGGTAGGGAGTTCTTTTTCACAGCAAGAAACTTTTAAATAAACAAAGTCATGTTTTATTAAGTACATTGGCAGACTTCATGTGCTGTCCAAAATGTAGAGTACAGTATAACAACCCATTTAGAAAGATCCTTTGTGGAAAATACAGCTGTGCACATTTTAGAAAAATACCCACAATTTGAGCTTTGTTTTAAAAAAGCTTATAAATCATATATATATTTATAAATGGAGCGAACATGCTCACTTTATAAACATCCTTTAGTTCTCTGTTGCCCATTATTTCCAAAGCATTACATATTTAAATAAACACTTAATAAGATTAAATATTCTATTTTCTTAAAAAAAAAAAACAATCAGCCTTCCCAGCATAAGGAGTTCTAGGGGTAGGAAGGGGCAGGGAGCATGTGAGGACCAAAAGGGGGCCTTAGTTTGTTCTGGAGTAAAAATGGACTTCCTAAATTTAAAAACCAAAGCAAAATGTAAAAAATAAATATACAAGTTGTAATTTTATTTTCACTTGCTCTCTTTCTGCCTTCTTTAATCCATATTGGTCACACCCAGGGCTCTCAATATATTGCACTTCTGCAAAAAAAAAAAAAAAAAAAAAGAAAAAGAAAACCACCACTGGGTAAGCTACCCTGTGGGTGACGCAACAGGCCGCCCATGCCTGTGCTAACATGGGAGGCGCACACACTGTGTCTCCTGCCAGAGTGAGAGACTCGGCTGACACCGTGACACTGTGGCTAACGCTTAGGAAGAGTTCCCCTCCACAAGGAAATGGCTGGAAGAGACTCAGACATACCTTTCCTACCCTGATTTCTTCTTCTTAAATAATTATTTTTTTTTTTATAAAGATCATGTAGTTTCTCTAGGTAAGCATGCTTCTGAGTAAATTATATAACAGAAAAGAAATCAACGTCAAAACAATACGGGACAGCAAAAGACAAATATTTCAAATGAAACCGTCTAAATACTTAAAATTTAAAATAAAACTAGAAAACAACACTGAAGGCAGAGGGTCAAGGAGCAGTGAGTGACCTAACAAAGCTTTACTGGCTACCTGAATGCATTCAGCCAGAATTTGAGTTGGGGAGGGGAAGGGGGAGAAAGAGAAGAGTAGCTATTAATAGCATCTTGCTTAACTTTCACGGGAATTAACATAGCCACTGACAAGATTTTATTTGGTTGTAATGTACGTCAGCAATGAAACCGAACCCTTAGCTAGTGCTTACTGCAATCCATGCAACATTTTGACTACACTTTTTTAGTATTCTGCAAATTTAGTACCTCCTGAGGGCATCAACAATTCACCCCAGTGATGTTAAAAAATATTTAAAATTAAATTATTTCTTTGGAAGGTATAATACCTTCAGCTCACTATATTTGAAAGATAAATAACCTCTTATTGGTTTAGAAAGAATAAACGACATGAAAACGATGTATTGCTATTAAAATAAACACTTTTTTTTAAAACTAGTCTTTTGTTGTTGCTTTTCCTTGAGATGCAACCTGTGTGTTTTAATCCAGCCAGGACTGCAGGTGGAAGATGACTATACATCACATTGAAATAAACAGCAAAAGTGAGCAGAGTCGTGCACAAGCAAATGAAACGTTCCCTCCCAGAACATTCCAGGAGACGGTAAAGCAGCAGGTCACGGCAGAAGCCTGCTGAGTGATGCTGCTACCTACTTCTTCTAATGAGATAGGAGCGAATGTTGGAACCACTGCAACGCAACCCTCAGACTGCATTCCTCTGGCAGTCTGCTCTCCCCAGCTCCCTACTAAAAACGTCAGATGGTAAAATAGTAAGGCAGCTGTTGACTTCCATCAAAAAAAAAAAAAAAATTGCAGGTCCATACATTTCCAGTTTAGTCACACTCTGCTAGGACAGATGGAGTAGCCAAGGCCAAGAGCTTCGCCGGATGGGGCTGCTTCAGCAGATTTGAAAAAAGAATCGTTATTAAGCTCTGCTCTCCAACACGGCTGTGTGCTTCAGCTCTCAGAGGACCCCAAAGACACAAAGCATTCCTGGGGGACCTGAGAGGTCCTCTGGCTGAATTTTCCAAGTTTCATCTCTCTCGTGATCCTATCCCAATTCCAAGCCTCCTCGCCCGTGTCTGAGTCTGACTGGGGTGTGCCGTTTAGAGGGCTGAGGACACCATGGCAGAACTGTGGGCTAACTCCACTAGTTGTCATGACTTCACTGAGGGGTCAAAACAGTTACAGCATTAAGTAACCACGCCAAATCACATTCAAAATTTAAGCCAAGGACAACGTCATTGTTTAAAAAATTATAAATGGGAATTTGAAAAAAAAAACAACAAAAAAACAATGTTACTGTAATTTTTCTATAGACATTAAGGCTATGCTTACCTTTCCTAATTCCAATCAAGTCAGAAAGTGAACAAAAAGAATGGCCAACCCAATGTTCAACAGCATGACCAGGACAATCATGACGGAATTAGGGCCCTGAAGGAGAAACAGAACAGAACAAGCACAGTGTTTCTATGTCAGTGCAGCTGCTTGACACAAACCCATCACCAGAACCAATTAGCAAAAATATTAGCACACAAACATGGCCACAGAAACTAAGGCAGGAAAGACAGCAGCCCTTCCAAAAGGCATGAACTAAAAGCACTTTAGATGCTACATTTAGATAGAGTCACTGTCCAACTTCCACTTAAAATTAACCTAGATTTGAATTAAGTTAAAGACACGTTTTCAAGCTGGGGTGTTGGTACCTACCATGAATCTTACCACGCTACAGGCAGAGGCAGGCTGATGTCTGTGAGTTTGCAGTCAGCCTGGTCTACACCGTGAGTTCTATACTAGCAGGGCTACACAATGAGATGCCACCTCACTTTTTTTTTTTTTTCTGCTGTAATACTTTATTCATCTCACACAATGGGAAAGGTCACTGGAAAGGTGTTGGGAGATAGTGGGGCTCAGTTGTCCTTAGGGTGTGAAAGAGTCAGAAGAGAAGGGCAGACCCTCTTCAAGGCGGTTAGAAAATAAGAATAAAATCAGAAGATTTTATTTCTCCAAGGAAAAACTCAGGAAAACACTCAGAGAGGTGTCTGTTTTTACAGACATCTAGGCCACCTCGGCTGGCCTTGAACTCACTATGTAGAGGAAGATGACCTTGACTTTATAATCCTCCTGTCTCTACTTCCTACTGTTTGGGGATATATGTCTGATGTATGTGGTCCTGGGGACTGAACCCTGAACTTTGTGCACGCTAGGGAAATACAGTGAGTCACAGGCTCAGCCCTCTGTGAGGTTTTCTTAACCCTTGCTCTTTTCTGGGCCTCTTTCTGGGTCCTACTTCATCCTTTAAAGCTACGAACAGGAAGTTGAACACTTATAAAAGCTTTTTCTTTTTCCAGGTCTAACTATTTCTGGAATGATAACCAAGTCACTATATAATTAAGTATATTTAACCAACAGCAGATTCCTATTTTGATAAATGTCATTAGAATAAGTACCAGACAACCCAAGGTCACCAAGCTTTTATTTGTTTAAATAAAACTTATATGACCAGCTATTCAGGTCTGGTAGTACCTGAAGAACCTGCCTTTCTTAGAAGTACAAGATCTTAGTATTTTTTATTATTATTAAAATAGCACACAATTCTTAAATAGTAGTTATTCAATACAGACTGTCTCTATATTTAAGGTGAATTAATTGGCTTTTGAAAAGATTTTTTTTGGTGTGTGTGTCTGAGTATTTTACCTAAAGGTTTGCATGTGTTTGTGGGGGTGGGAGAGGGTCCCTGCATTCATTACAGCCTGTGACAGGCAAGAAGGCAGTTTAGTTCAACACCACTCAGTGACATTGAAGGCACTTAGTTCAACACCAGTGATGGTTCAAATGTCAAGAGTAAAACCTCAACTAGTTTATTTTAGGAATATTTGAGCACAGCATAATTTTGGAAAAAGTTTCCTGTTGATAACGCAATTCCATGTGCACAAAACAAAACTGAAGACCTGGCCACATCGAAACTCTGTGTATAAATGACATCTTTCATAAAAGATGGGATCTATAAATTAACTGAGAACAGGCTCAGAATAAGGGTCTGGGGGAGGCTCTACTGTGCTCTCAGCCACACAGATAGTGCAAGGGTTACCAGGCCATTCACCATGTTTGCTCCCAATTTTCTGGGCAGAAAACAGGGTATATATATGTCTCCCTGTATGTTTAACATTCTGGGTACCCCAGTGATTATCTGTGAACACAAGGACCTCCATACCATCTACATGTGCCCATGTGTGCCCCTGGTCTGTAGATGCTAGCAGAGGGTGTTGGATGCCCTGGAGTTACAAGCGGTTGTGAGGCGCCCTCTCTGCAGAGGCAGCAAGTGCTCTTACCTGCCGACCACCCCTCTAGTCAAAATTAATTGTTCTAATTTAAGTGTACATAAAAGAAAGCCGTTACACCCTGGAGCACCAAATAAGTTCGTGTGGAAACAAAGTTACAGGGATATCAGTTGTGCCTTCTCTGGTGACGGGACTGAATGGTAAGGAAATCTGGTCAAGTGTTCATCTTCCAGGCTGGGGCTTAGCTTACATCACCTATCACTGCCTGAAGGACATCGCTACCCTGTGTTCACGGGCGCTGTGGTGGAGGTCATGGTGCCCTGATCTTTCTCTGTCGTAACACTAGTCGTATTTTATTGCCATCTGTTGTTGCACTGACACCTTCTCGCCTAGACTCAGCTCGACAGTGTCAAGGGCTTTGACTTCTTCCTCACTCTGTACCCAGGGCCTGACTCCTTTGGTGCCCAGTTCATCCATGAAGGCCAGAGTTTAAGGAGAACTCCCCGCCTTCCAACATGCCGCTAGGTGCTGGTAGTCTGAATGAATCATTAGGAAATCGGGGTGTGAGGACTGAAAACAGGACCTTTTGAGGAAGGGACTGTGAGGAAGAAGCAATCCCCCACTTCTTTAGCCCCAAGTATACGGAAGATAAAAAAATAGGGCTTAAATGCCAGTCAGCACACTAAGACTCTGTAAGTACATGATCACCTAGTTTTTATTTACTCACAGGAGATTATTAGCTCCATTCTGGACGGATTCAAGAGGACAATTGTATTAGAATATTTACAAACTATTTAAGAATCAAGGTTCTTTAGAGGTAGAGTTAAGTGTCAAGCTGTCACTTGGGTGCTCTAGACTCTTTTTCTCTATCCCTGCTAAAACTCAAGCCTTAGTTTAAAAACTTCCTAATAGGCTTCCAAAAGGTAACATTTTCATCTTCCTCTTTAAATTTTCAGAGGAACAGAAAATCTTAGCAACCTTCAACTAGGTGAGCACGCGGTTTGTGCCTGTAATCTTAGCACTCTGAGGGCTGACACAGGAACAGTGCCCTCAGTTCAAGGCTAGGCTGAGCTACACAGTGAGGCTGGCTGTAAAAAATGGTGAGTCCCAATCTATGCAAGTTCTCAATCAGGGCAAACTTAAGACACAGAAACTCTTAGTGCTCAAAATACTGGAAGTAATCTTTTACCATCCCATCTCAGCATAAAGTATACGGAAATGCTATGGCTATTCTCTGCTTTGATTAGACTTCGTTCCTAAGTCTGTAGACAATTTGGAATTGCTTCCATTCCTTTAGGCTAGTACACTTAATTCATCTCCAAGATAATGAGTGCACCAGGGATGGAGAAAAGCATATTGAGTTAGAACAAGCTTGTACCAAGTTGAGAGTCTGAAAGGACCGGGGACAAGCAGAATCAAAGAGCGCCTTTGAAAACAGCATCAAAAGCTGAAGACAGGGCTGGGTGTGTGGTGAGGTGGCAGAATGCCTACCTAGCATGTGCAAGTCCTGAGCGCAATCCCAGCAGAAAGAAAAAACAAATTTAAGCTCCATATACATTTTTATCTCCCATTTCATAAACCCTGGTGACGTGCTGTGGGTTTACATGAACTCTTTTGAACCGATTAGTAGTCTGGGTTTTATAGATTGTCTTGGGTTGAATTTAGTAGCTTACTACCTTTCTTCAAAGGTTTGGCCTATATCTCATTGTACTTGTAAGCTGGCATCAATGAATAATGAGTGAATGCTTTATCCAGAATGACAAATACACACATATGTATTTCCTACTGAACACACACATATGTATGTATGTTTATGCTCTAACATATATGTATATTTAGTCTACCAGTGCAGCTCCTCTTACGAAGCTAACTTTAAAGATGACTCAGGGAAGATGAACCAGCAACGGGAGGCTCTAACAGCAACTAGGTGACAATGAAAATCTGGGATGCTGTAGCTAAGTGGCAGGTACCATACTGTGACCTCAGTTTTCTTCAGACACCTTAGGCAAGCTACTGGGTGAAAAGCTTTAAGGTGAAGTCCCATAAATACGACTGTGGTGGCCAGTGGTGGCTTAAAATAGCAAAATGAGGAACAGCTTAGTTCTGCTTCCCCAGACTGACGGGGACAGGTGTGACAGGGAACAGCAGCAGGGAAGACGCTAAGAGCAGATCAGAAGAAGCCTTCGGCCGGTTAGAAAAATACAACAGAGGGTGTCAAGATAGAGCTGATAACCTGCTCAGGTTGACTCTGCAGCGGCCACAGGTTTCTCTTGCAGGGCGGGGAGCTCCACAGGGCCTGCCTTCTCATGCTTGTTAAATCAGTAAATTCTTCTACGTGTTAGTCTGTGTCCTAGAAGATTTCCTACATTTTCTAGACACATACCCAGAGCGAACATTAAAGAAATGGACTGAACCATTTATGAACTCTTTATACTTCAACCAGTGTGCCATTAATAATGATAACCATAACGCCCTTTGTGCATTTACCCTGCTCAGTACAACATTAAGAACATAACAATCTTCCCAGCTGCTCACAAAGTGTGCTGGCTGGTTTATTATGGCATCCCCCCACATGCCTGCTTTTGTTGGGATATTACTATGAATTTTAAACTGTTCATTATAAACTTTGAACTTGCACAGTGCTCTTGGTTTTTCAGAACCAGTAGGCTGTACTCCACCGTTTCAGTGGTCATTCACTGACTACTCTGACAGTGAATAGTCACTTCCTATCTCCAGGGAAAGGGGCTGGCACTAGAAATGCAAGGCAGCTATTAGGAAGGCAGCATTTTCTCTCCGAAGGCCAAGTCAGTCAGACTCATGCACTGGGGCAGCCCAAGGTTCAAGGGGGTTGCCGGGCTGCTGAGGCCATCTCATACATACAGACACAGCTTGGGTTCTGATCAGTGAGCCTCAGCTGGAAGTTGCTTGGCTTACTTCAAGAACCAGCAGATTCTATACATTAGTAAAATCCCTGCCTTTTCTAGATACAGTGGTAATGTGTTTGCTTATGTCCAGTGCTACTACAGAGAAAGGTTTATAGGTGACAGCAATATTTTTTTCCCCTATCACAGACCAAAGAGGGGGATAGCGGGCACATGATTCCACTGTGGCATTTGTGAAATTAAATGTCTTACTCAGCAGGTAAAGATGTAACGTGGAGGAAATGGCATTGTTTAGATTTACCCCTCATTACCCAGGCAAATGGATAATATATATATATATATATGAAGCCCTATCCATCATAAATGCTCACATTGAGTGTCTAATGACAAGGGATTGTTTCATGCAATGAATCAGGAGCGGTAGAATTATAATAACAGATAATGAGGTATATCAATGTTCATAATTTGAAAACAAATGTTTACTAAATATTTAAGCGTCCTGAAAATTAATCTGTCTTAAAAGCTATTTACTTCCACAGAAGTTGACTCTTCGAAGTTATTAGTCTAGTTGGACCTGATTAATTTATACTTAGCTAACAAAAAAGTGAAAACTGAAAAGATAACCAATATTACATAGAGATATTAGCAAAAATTAGCATAAGTTAATTCAAAGGATGAATTTTATTTAACCATATGAGTAAATGGAACAAAAATAAGAAAGTGATGGCTAGTCTATACTCTTCTTGGCCAGGATTCCAGTTGAAACTTTTATACACGTTTTAAAAATTGCTGGTACCATTAAAGTGGTGGTGTCATACTGTATTTCACAGTGAACCTGACTACCCAGAGGCATATGTGACCAAGATAATGTATCAATTTAAAAAAAAATCAGTCACTTAAATAAAAAGATTTTAAAAGAGCGAGAGATTAGAGCCTATAAATTCCACAGAACTTGACAAAATCTCAGTTCCACCGAGTACTTACCAGATCAATCTCATGTCAGGGAACATGAAGTAGACATTCATCAATAACACAAAGCTTACTGGCCATAAGAAGTCTTACCTGTTCAAGACTCATCAGCAATGGATAGCATCTATCAGACAGCTGAGTATGTGACTATCCACATCAGGAGACTATCTCCAGAGATGTGTTATCAAGTAATTAGTTATGTTGTTGTGGAAGGTTTCTCATTTGGAAAGCAAAAATTCTTACTGTCGAGCCTGGATCATTAAGTAAAATACAAACTGCATATTTGTGAGGATTTCCACTGCGCGTGATGTTCTTGTGTAAAGGGCCAAAGGAAAGCTCAGAACTAGCTGCTATGCAGAGAGGTGCTGGCTATGGGCAGCGGCCATGTTTCCCTTCTGGGGGCCATTGAGTAGGTAATTAAGAAGTTTGCCAAGACACACTGGTGAACTCTTGCTAACAAGTGATACCATCCAAGGATGGCCAGGCCTAAGTCCTGTCTGAACTATCTATAGTGAGTGGCTGAGCCAGCACAGGGTTCCTGCTCAGAGAACTCACTGCTGCAAACGTGCTCTGCTCTAAACAACCTCGAGGACCGAGGACCTTTGTCATCCCAGCTGTGGTCAAGAGGTAAAGCTACCCACTCCATACTTGCTTCCCTGAACAAACGCAAAGGAAAAGCTCCCGCAGGACTTACTGAATTGGCTTCTTTTTCCAAAGAAGGGCAGGAATCATTGCTTGCTGGGTTCTTTGGTATAGCAAGTTCGGACTTCTTTGCTTTTGGCTCAGTTTTGCTTTCTTTGGCAGCTGGTTTTGTCACAGATTTCGGGGGACTCCACTTGTTAGGTGATGGCCTGTTTACCAATGCTGAGGAAGACTGGCTGGCTCCACTGTCATCCTCCCCATCTTCTGGAGGATGCTGAGGTGTGTTCAGTTTCACATAGTAGCCGTGGTACTGAGAGTGCAGCTCCCCGTTGCTCGGGTTGGGGACGTGGTGGCGACCAGAGTACTTGGACATGGTTGCTCCGAGTTCCTTTGAAGGAGCCTTTGACATCAAGGGCTTACTGACAATGGCTGTCACCTGCTCCTCAGCCATGCTCCTTCTATCCTGACTGAGTCTTACCCCTGAGCCGGGGTTTTGTTTCTTCATGGGCTTTGGGGAGGAAGGTTGGGGAGAGTGGCTCTGTTTGGGACTTGCCTCAGGAGATCTGGGGGGCGTCGTGCCTTTTCGATAAAAATGAGGAGACTCCTTTGGTGATGGAGGTTTTTCTGGTACCTTTTCTTCTGGGTTTTCTTTAACGTCTGCCCCCTCCTGAAATCTTTGTTTGATATAATCAGGACCTGGAAATAAAGAACAGAAAGGAAAGGAAGGTGATAAAAAAATAAGTTGTAAAGGTTTGCAATCCAGGTGAGTATCATTTTGCTAAAGCAGATCAACTTCCCGCCTTTTGAAGGTATTTGTAAGTGAAAGGTGTGAGGATGTTTCAGCATACAAGGAAAAGATTACTGAAAAATTCTTTCAAGATAAAATCTGCCACTGTTTACCCTATATTGACATCCATAAAACATAAAAGATTTCAGAATTCTCTAATATTTCTATCACTTTTTGCTTGAAGAAGATGGTTGTTTGGCATATAGCAGAATTAACATTGGTCAAAACCCAACAAAATTTATTTATCCCAATTAGGTAGGATAATTAAAATATAGAAAGTATGAACTTGAATAAGGAAATAAGCTTACTCTTGTCTGGTCAGAAGCCTAAAGAGATTTGTACTGTCTAGGGAGAGCCTGCTGAGAGGGTATTTTTAACCACTGCTGAATCTTTCTGGTCAGGAAGAGCTTTTGCCTTTAGTGCTCTTTAGAATAACTTCTGGGAAGTCCATTCACAGCAGGGACATGTGACCAGCAGTGTCCATGACATGGCTCTATTGTCTCAGGGTTTGCGTTCAACCTCTCAACCTACCTCAGGAACATTCATAACAATTAAAAAAAAATTTAAAATTATTCTTTCAAAGCAGCAACTAGAGAAATAGCTCAGTTGATACAGGGTTTGCCACAAGAGTATGAGGATCCGGGTTCAGTTGGCAGAATTATATGACTAAAGCCAGGTGTGGTTGTGTGTACCTGCAAGCCCAGCTCCGCAGAGGTGCAGATGGACAGATGAGCTCCCGAGGCTTGGCTTAGCCTCGCTGGTGAGCCCCAGGTCCTAGTGAGGCAAGATGGATGTATCAGAGGCCTGATGACATGGTGCTGTCCGCTGGCCTCAATAGACAGGTGTGTGTGGACATGCCTCCCCCACCACTTTAAGAAAAAACAAAACAAAACCCTGCCCCACTGTTTCTTTATATTGAACACCCATAAAATAAGAGTGTGCGTGACGTGATAACACAGGCTGTGAGAGCTCAGTGATGCCAGTGGTATAGAGAGGAGACAGCTAGGGAGTCAAGACAGCTTTCAACAGAGGTACCTTCTTACTGGATGTGTTAGCTCTGGGCCCTTCGCCACAACCACGTAACGTGGTAGCTCTCTACATTTCAGGCAGTGAAGGCAAAGCCACACTCACAGAGTTGCCATTTTCTTATAAATGGACAGGAGGCAACACACTTTCACACATTACTAAAACAAGCAAGAAACCATATGCAGTGGCTTTCTCAGGGAGCCAACCAGCTCTTGTCAACACCACACACTTTATTTTACTTCCGGCATTCAACCCCATCTCTCATTCTCAAACAACGGAAGGCTTACAAAGGGGCTGAAGAAAAATTATCTTTAACTGTTAAAATACACGTGTGCATTTATACTTATAACTGTTCCTCCCATGGTAGCCTGGGTTAGTGAATTACAGTGCTATGGTGGCTATTTATTTTACAAAGCTTGTTGTGTTGCTGTGGCTGTTGTTTTTTCCTTGAAACATAAGGCCTTACCCAAGTCATAGGAAGAGGGTATTATCCCCATTCTACTCATGTGGAAAACAGCTCTAACAGCTGAAAAGCCAAGTCACACAGTTCTTTAATCCTTTGAAGTAAAGCACAATACTGCATGTTAGGCAACATTTCTTCTTTTTTTTCCCCCCACTTTTTGAGATTATAATTACATTTCTCCCTTTCTTTCCCTCCCTTTAAGCCCTTCCACAGACCACACTCAGCTCTTCTTCAGATTTATGGCCTCTTTTTTTCATTATTGTTATCGCATGCACATATAATAAATACAACCTAAATATAATGTGTTAGGTCTGTAAAATGCTACTTGTGTGGCTGTTTTCAGGGCTGACAACCAATTACAGTGCTGCGCTCTTCCCTGAGAAGAACCAGCTCTCCTGCTCCTGGCTTTCCTCAGTTGCCTGTAGTTCTTTATATAGGGTTGAGGCCTTGTGGGCTTTTCCCTGTTCAGTTTGGTGTGTCCATTGATGTCCTTCTTGTTCAGTTCACATTTGGGCTCATGTTGGTGAGATTTTTTGAGAGAGCCTCCTTGCAGGTGGAGTCAGCCGGAACATAACAGTATTATTCCAACTTCCATTCGCTGGAAGATAAGCGTACTCCTCAGCCTTCAAGCATCTTCAAGCTTGTCAACAACTGAGATTTCCTTTCTGAATTTGTCAAATACTTTCTTCTTTCTTTTCTTTTTGAGACATAGTTTCAGTATGTGGCCTGAGCTCACTATGTAGACCAGGCTGCCCCAGAACTCACAGATCTGTCTGCCCCTTCTTCCTGACTTAAAGGCATGAACCACTGTGCCTGGCAAGCACTCTCTTTTGAAAGCTGCTGCTCTTAACTCTCCTATACAAGTGGGAAGGGGAATGAGTTCCTGGCTCAGAGAGAAGCATTTCAATGAGTTAGGCAAAGGGGTGGCTGTTACCATGCAATAGGCCATGTCTGTTTCTGAATTCATCCCTGGTTCTCTGTGCTGGGCACAGCACCTATGGGAAGCGACAGTATTATGGGCACAAGAGATCCCATTCGCCATTGGCAGACTCACCTCTACTTCTTACATGTGTTTATCTTAGTTGCTGAACATTGAGTCCAGGGCCTCATTCTATGCTGCTGAATCACACCCACAATCCTTTCCCTCAAAACCCTATAAACTTACCTGTACTTGTCCTGCATGGAGATCCCTTTAGAGTTCTATTGCAGCTGTATTTTTTTTTTTGTTTAAATTTATTTATTTATTATTTATTACAATTTATCCACTTTGTATCCTGGCTGTTGCTCCCTTCCCTCATCTCCTCCCAATCCTACCCTCCCTCCCTCTTCTCCCTGCTGTACCCCTCCCCTTGTCCACATAGGGGAGGTCCTCCTCCCCTTCTCTGCAGATGTATTTTTAAGGTCCCTCCTCTTTGTGAGCTCTGCTCTGAGCCAGCCTGAGGCAGAGGGTTGCCTACTATGTATTTTCCCTTTGCCACCCCCATATCCCTTTATCCAGTGTCATTAGAATTGATTTTATTTGTGCTTCACTGTATTAAATTTTACAGCATTCCTGAACATACCATTCTAGGTACCATAGTGAATGCACCATGGAAAGATAATTACAATAGATTTTTGGAGCCAACAGTTCTAATTTAATCTATAAATTAAATTAAATACTGAACAAATTATACAATGACTAATACTTAGGACTTCAATCCAACAGATAAGCACAAACATGTTGAAAAAAAAAAAACAAAACCTTTGCCAATATCTCTGTATCAAAATTAATGCCTATTAAAGAGTAACATTTAACTTACATATATATGTATATGTATGTATATATATATATATATATATATATATATATATACACATACACACACATTTATATATGTACAGGAATATGTAGAGATACATATATACACACATATATGTATATATGTACAGGAAAGAGTGGAAGATATAAGCATCAGTTACACATACATAAAGCATATATGTATATAATTACATATACACACATATATTAAATAACATTGGAATGTTAACATGTTTTCAAATGTGTTTTACAAATAGTTAAGCAAAACAAGACAAAGACAAAACCCCTAAAACTTCTACATCTTTTCTCTTTTTAAAAATTTTTATTTTATTTTTTACAATTTATTCATTATATATCCCCACTGAAGCCCCCTCAACTCTTCACAGTCCCACCCTCCCTCCCTCCCTCCCTCATCCCCCCTAACCCGTTCCCCTAGTCCACTGAAAGGAAGACTTCTCTTCCTATGCCATCTGCTTCTACATCTTAATTCATACTTATGAATGTCATTAGGAGGTCAAGTTGAGGAAGCTGCAGTAATAGATTTGTGAAATTCAAAAGTGGACTACACCAAATGTACATACTTAATTAACTCTGAGGTACCACCCCAGTCATTTCTGTCCCCTTTAGAACGCTGACAAATTGCTTCTTGGCACAGTTTTCTTGTCTCAGGAGTATTAATAAAGGTGTGCCTAGTGTGGTCACTTACAACTAAGACTTTTCAGACATGTTCGGCTACTGGGTTGCAGATATTGCTGAAAATATGCTGCATTCAAAGAAATTACTAGATTGGTGGAAGTACATTTGGCCACCAAGGATCAGATTTAAAAATAGCTAGCTTTATGCACAGGAAAGTGACTGCTTAAGGAAAACATAAACGAACCCCCAAGCGGAGGCTCTCATACTTGTGGTGTATCAGGCACACCCGAGAGACTTCAACCTAAAGGAAAGCAGAAATCCAAGCTGAGACGTTTGAATTTGCATGCTTCAGGTGTTTCTACACACCAGACATAAGTGACTGAAACCACGCAGAAATTATGGGTGTCAAGCTGGCCTCTACCCAATGCCAGCCTTACATGGCTACAGCCGTTGGGAAATGATTCCAACATGGCACACTCATGTGAGAACTGGCCAAATGTGAGGATATAGCTCAATTTTTCCAGAGCAAGATTCAATTCATTTTAAACAAAACAGTTAATATAATGCAGCGGACAGAGTTTTTTCCTGGACTCTTTTCTCCTGGAAGGCACATGCTGTACCTGCTATTTGCTTTGTGTAGTAATGCGTGTTACAGTGTTGTGGCAGCTACTTAAAGCTGGTGAGTGGCTGCAGCTCACAATCAGGACCAATCATTATGGCCAGGGAGGGAGACTGTTATAAATGTTTAGAGTTTGGCGGTTGGAATTTTAGACAGTCATCTATGAATCCTAGGAGATTTTCACCCTCCTGGGGATTCACACTGGGAAAAAGTCACCTGATCTACAGCACACCACACGTGAACAGTCAGCCTGCCCTCACCAACACAGAAAGGCAAGTCTACACACTTGGCACAAAGGCTCTGAGCAGATACTGGCAGATGGTGGCGGCAGGGAACTATTGGACTGTTCAGTTTCCCTCTTCATGAA